TCCCAAAGTGCTGGGATTACAGGCTTGAGCCACCGCGCCCGGCCCTAAAGTTTGAATATTTTAAATGATGGGGGCAGAGACAGAGGAAATGAGTGCTTAGGAATCCATTTGGTTTTATTTTTTTATTTCCAAAATTAAGTAAAATAGGCCAGTGAGTCAATTTTAGTTTGGAAGGGAGGGGTTATCTTGGCACAAGTTTTAAATGAGTATCTTAGTCATGTAGTTGTGATGTGTATTTTTAGGACTACCCAATTACTTAACTCTTGTTTTCCACCCTTCTAAAGGTGGAAACCTCAGTTTTAGGCTTGAAATTAGGTCAACTTTATAGAAGGTGGGATTGATACAGGAATGTTTAATATTCACTCCTGTGGTAGTAACTGAGTACCTAGGAAAAGCACGTTTTTAGAATATGATGTAAGAATGGTACCCCTACCGACCGTTAGACTTCATCTTTTGTGGTCAGCCTACACTATACTTTTCAGATGCAGATACTTAAAATTATTAAGAAAACATACAGGGTATTAGTAACAAAGTGGAAACAGTATTGCTGTGTTTATGTTGAAGCATATCCTATGTTGTCAAATATAAATTTTTATTTAGGCATACTGGAAAAATTAGTTGTACAAAACAATATATGTGATGCCTTTTTTAACAAAGCATTGTTTAGCAAAATTTGCTGGCTAATGTTATTGGAATAAAGTTTAATTTCCAAAAAGTGTCATTGTTTGGTACAACCGATATTTAAAGTAAATAAATGATTAGTTAGAATAATTACTAATAGAATAATAAACTAGTTAGAATAATTTCACTCCAATACAGTTGAAAACAACAGCAAAAAAAAAAATTGTATACGAGAGAAAATAATGGATTGCAAATTGTAATATTTGTGCGTAAGTCTGGGAAAGGAGTGTGGAGAACCCTCTCTGTTTGAAATAGGTAGTATGGAAGGATTCCCTGTGTTCATACACTGATTTAAATTAAATGCTTTTGAACTTCAGTCCTTGTTTAGAATGATTTAATCTCCTACTTTGCGTTGTTAGATTTCTTAAGTTTTGAGTGTTTTTACCTTTAATTCTGTCATGTATGAAAATTTGTAAACAGATTTTATGGTTTTGTCTTATGTGAGAAGTTTGTTCAATTTTATTTTCTACTACTTTTTTCCTTATTATATGACCTTTTATCCCATTAGTTCTTTATCAGAAAAAGGCTAATTTATGGTCATGAGCAGTTAACACTGGGATATGCTTAAAAGCATTGTTTTTATTTCACTGCTTTTGTCTTAGGACAAGGCTTTTAGTGTGTTTCACTACAGCTGCAGTTAAAAGTTAACACAAAGCTTTCCCTACCATACCACTCTTCTCCATTATGAAATGTTAGTCTTTCAACATTTAGTATAATTTATTTTCAAGTTAAACTCTTTTCCCTTTTTGGTATATTCATTTCTGAAGGCAGCAGAATTGCCAGTCATTCTTTACATTTTGCATACTGTAACTCCTTTAATTTTTACATATTAATAGGTTTCAAACTGGTCTTTTTCGCCCTGAAATAGTTGGCTCTTGTCTCTTAACCACAGGATCTGCATTGGAGATTCGTGAGAACTGTATTTCACAGAATTTTTTGATTGATCCTGCTTTTGCTTATTTGATATCTCCAATCTTTGTGATTCTTACCTTTGGGCCATATAGCTGTAGGATGGGCAAAGATAGTTTCTTCTTTCCATTCTGCATACCGTACAATCTTTTTTGGCCTTGCTGTCTTTCTGTGTAGTTTCTTACATTGCTACCCTGGAGCAAGTTGGAATTTTATTATGTTACTAGAAAAATAAATTGTTGATCAAGTCAGTAGCTAATGAAGACTTTTAACAAGTTCACCCCCTTTCTTTTGAAAGGAACTTTTTCAGGCTCTTGCTCTGTCAACCAGTTTGTGGTACAGTGGTGTGATCATGGCTCACTGCAGCTTCCACCTCCTAGGCTTAAGCAATCCTCCCACCTCAGCTTCCTGAGTAGCTGGGACTACAATATTTGTTAAGTGAGGTGGGGTCTCACTATTTTGTCCAGACTGCTTTTAAACTCCTGGGTTCAAGAGATCCTCCCTTCTCAGCCACTCAAAGTGCTGGGTTTACAGGCGTGAGCCACCATGCCTGGCTGGAACTATCTTTTCAAATAACTCCTGCTAAGGACTGTAGCTTAATGTGGGTGCTTTAGTATTGAACCTCCTTGGAACTTTTGCATTATTTAATCCAAAGCATTATAGCCGTGAGTCTAGAGTCAGAAAGAGTGCCTCTGTTACGATATGCTTAACAAAAATTTAAATGATACAGAAAGCTTAAAGTTTGCAGTTATGTTTTTATAGTTTTTTCTTTTTTTTTTTTTTTTTTT